GTTTTCTCAAGCGCAGTTCTCTCAAGCGCAGTTCTCTCAGAGCTGTTCTCTCAGAGCTCTCTCAGCCCCACCTACCTCACAGGGCATCTGTTGTGGGGAGAGGAAGGGAAACTGATTGTAAGCTGCTCAGAGACTCCAAGTGAAGGGTGGGATATAAATCCAATCTCTTCTTAAAAACAGAATCTGCAACATTCAGCCCAAATGTACTACCTGGTTAATTATCCAATTGTGGGAACTGCTCAGTAACTTAAAGAAACAGGAGAAAGGAAGGGAAAATAATCTAATATTTGGGCACTGCAGCTGAAGCTCTTCAACCTCATTAAAGTTATGGATCTTATTAAAACATAACCAGTGCCAAGACTGTAACCCTGCACTAATACTAGTAAGCCAGCTAGTCTCAGAGTGCTTAAAAACAACTGTCAAATTAATTTCCTATGGCCTTACCTAATCATGTCAGCAGGTGAGTGAATACTACACTATAGTAGAATAAAAGTAGTACCTTAACAGCTGCAGTTCATTCCTCTGTACTAGTTTCAGATTTAAAATTTATGAGTGGTGTTTGTACAATAACAAGCATATTTTAGTTCTCAACAAAAACACCTGGGACACATTGTACACACAGAAGTTCATTGCAAACTATTTTTTGGAGCTGGCACAATTGAGGCACAGAACTCGTACAGGCAGTCTCAAATTGATTAACATTTCTCCATCCCAACAGAATAGGCATTTGGTTGCAATTAAATGGATCTGAGACAGCCATCCAGCATGATTAAACTCAGATCAAATATAGTAGTTTACAGCCTAACCCTGTATAAGTTCACTCAGAAACAAGTCCCACTGGGATGAACAGGATTACTCTCAAGCAAGTATGCCTTCAATTGCAACCATCATGATGCCACTCAAATTACCATTTGCTCCCAATGCTCACACATCATTTTCAGCCCTGGATGTTTATTCTACCAACACAAAAGTGCCTTTCTTAAAGCACACTTCCACACTGGCAAGCAACAGCAGTCTGCAAACAGCAGGCAAACATCTGTAAAATACAGACCCTCCATTACTTTTCTTATAAGAACATAAATACAGCCTGCTGGATCACACTGCTGTTCCATCTAGTCCAACATACTGTTCCACACAATGGCCTACCAGTTGTCCCAGAGGGCCAAACAAAAAAGGCAAATAGGCTGAGGCCCTCCCCTGCTGCTGTCAGTATTCAGAGGTTTACCACCTCTAAACACTGAGTCTCCTGGCTAGTCGCCACTGATGGACCTCTCCTCCATGAATCTGTCTTAACAGCTCTAAAACAATCTATGCTTGTGACACTGGTAGAGAATTCTACAGTTTAATTACTCCTTGAGTAAAGTACCTCCTTTTGTCTGCCCTGAACCTGTGCCACAATTTCAATGGGTGGCCCAAGTTGGGAGAAAAATCCTTCTATCCACTTTCTCCATCCCTTGCATAATTTTATATACCTCTATCATGTCTCCCCTTAACCTTTCCCCCTCTAAATTGAAAAGTTCCAGATTCTCTAGCCTTTACTCATAAGAAAGGTGCTCCAACGTGCAATCACCAACTTTTGCAATGAAACATAGTTTTAACGGAGAGTTTGAGAAGTTCTACAGTTTAAGTGCATGCAGGGCCACTGGGATGTCCAAAAGGTTTGGGTCATACTCCACATGAACACAATGCAAACTCTAGAACATGTTCCAGAATCCTCTATAACAAAGGTATATGAAGAAAGCTCATTCAAAGTCTAAAGTTTGAAAGCCATTACTTTTTAAAAAGAATAAACTGATTTAAATCAGTTGTAAAGCATGATTTGAATAAGAACAAGACACCAATTTAAAGTCACAATTTCACTGAATTCATATAATTCAAATTTTGTACGGCTCTTTCTATACTGACACTAAATATGGACACTACACAAAATTATTTACTTGCAAAGTTAAGTGCCCAGACCTGGCCAGAAGCAAGAGTTACTGGGCAGAACAGTGCTCCCCCATGACATGAAAAGTACATGACCATTCTTTAGTTCACCATGTTTGAAAATTTATAATTTACACAATACTCTATCTCATTTTGATTGTCTTAGAGGACATATTCTCTCTCCTCCTCTTTTATCTTTTATGAAGAACAGCAGCGTTAGCTCTTGCTGACAGAGAGTCATTCATTCAGGTTTAAAGACTATACACATTTCAAAGTGCTTTATTTAAACTCAGATATTTACCATACTTCATGTAAAAAAACTCAAGAATTACATTTAAAAGTACTGGTTTTTATCCATGTTGCTTTAGATGATTAGCTTTATAAACTTCAAAATGATGGCCTGGTTTTAAGATGAAGTCAGATTTCTCACAAATCCCCTCACAATTGTGAACCACCCACACTCTCTGGTGTCCAGCCCTCCCCAAGTGTTCAATATACTGCAGAAAACACATGGCATGAAGATCCTGCTTTCCTAGAAAGAAAAAAGTAACCTAACTGAAGGTGCAGAAGACTGGAGGGCAGATAAGGACCTGATTCATCTTGTATGGTGTTTCAGAGAAGGCAAAGCACTGGAGTGGCAAGAACCTCTTCTTGCTACTTCTTCCTTCCCAGTGGCCACAGACATTTACAGAGAACTTAGGGGAGGAGCTAGGCACTGTTTCATTGTTCGTGGGGCTTTTACAGAAGCCAAAAGCTTCTGCAAATCCAGCCAAGAAAGGAAGCTTCCCCCTCCCAATACTCCACTATGCATGAGGTATTCAGTGGAAGGAAAACATCATTGGGAATCACAAATAATGGCTGTCTAGCCAAGGCAGAGTTTGTAGACTCCTGGTTACAACACTTATTTTATTGACCTAAATGACTCTTAGTGTGTTACAGTCTTCCCATAGAAGAGCCAAGTTTTGCTCTGTTACGCCACTGTTGAGATTACTACCAAACTTTAGTCTACTTTTTAGACTACATAGTCCTTTGCTTAAATGGCTATCCTCTAGAAATACTTCAATTATTATTTCTTGACTGGAAATCCAGAAATTACAGTGTTGCAACCATAACTCCAGCAAATACAACCTTTTAAAAATACACAGTAAAATATACACTAAGTTGTTTACCATTATTGTTAACAGCCAAAGGCCACTGCAATATTAACAATAATTACATTGTTAGTGGGGGCAGTAACAAACAATGTATTTGGACACTGACAATATTAAGAGTCTCTCCTCCCCTTTCCTTCTGATATCAGCGGCAAAACAAGCTGCCAATTATATCAATTCAATGCACTTTTAAAACATAATCGATTTTTGGGATATATAGACTATAACGCTTAGTCTTTTATGTATTTAGAATTGTAGAGGGAAAACTAGTCACAAAACCATAGAACGATGATTAGAAAATAGTTAAAACAATTTTTATCTACTGCCCTCTTATTGTTCCCCCAGCAATCACCTAGTTACTGTACACTGAATGAGCCACTAATGTTATTCGATGTACCAAGTGTTGTTTTCATGCGATCTTACAATTCATATAATGTCAGTTCTGCCTGGCAGCATAATGACATCATTTGAACGGAGGCACACCGTTGGTAGTCAAGCAGCAGCCAATCTGAAACAGTGGGCTGTCCTAACTTTGTACCTGGATGTATAAACAAACACTTAAAGCATGTCCACTGCAATAGAATAAGAGATGCATGCAGTAGATATAGGGACTGCTAGACACTGGCCAGTAGACAGAGAGATATAACATTTACAGTGCCATTTCTCTATTATATATCTAGATGTTCCCTAGTATTGCAAGCTTTAATTTTCAAGGCTACTCTTGTTTAATTGCAACCATATTGCCATATGCTAAGCCAAGGCAATGAAGACTGCAGTTTCATGAATACTTATTAGAGAAATAAGCCCAACTGAACACAAGAAGCTTACTTATTAGTCTTCGCTAAACTAATGGTGTCACGAGATCAGTGTCAGACTGACAAATTGTTAATTTACTTGAAGCTGTAGTTTTGCATCTGCTATAAAAGAACGAATCAAGAGGTAAGATAGAATAGTTATATTTCCCAGTCTCTGGCCTTCCTCAACTCAAAACATAAGAGCTCTGTAGAGAACCTTTGAGTACCAGCCTAACTATATTACACAGCTACATATGGTTATATGCTGGTTCTTAGTTACTATTATGTACTTAGTACAAGCCTGTACATTTAACTAACCACAGCCTTGCTAAACTTAAGGTAAGATTCCTAGAAAATATAACAGAACAGAGTCAATCTTCAGGATGTTAGGCATTTTATGATCAACCTTAACATAACTGTATCAGCACATCACCACCCACCCATACCACAAAGCAAAAGTCAGTTATCCGCTTTTATTAAGCGAAGCATTCCCCTGCTCTTTGTACAATATGAAGAAACAATAAAACAGAAGCCTTCAGAAAACTAACTTTTCAGACACAGACAGGAGGAACCAAATGTTATCAAGAAGAGACAAGAGCAACCCTTCTAAAAATAAGCAGGCAGCTGCAACCTGGTCTGGACCACAGAGAGGGAAGGTAAAGGTGGAGGGAGCTGAGACCAAGACAGCCTCCCCCTGGCAGCAGGCAGTCCCTGCTGGAGCCAGCCTGCACCCGTTTCATCAGAACAAAAGCCTGGTGGTGGGTGGTACAGCTCCCCTTTCTGCAATGTTTGCAAACAGCAAAACAGCCACAGTAGGGTCTACCTCCTTGCAGACACCCATGTTTGCTTGGGCTGACAGTGGAGAGAGATTAGTCCTGAGGGACTATGAGGGAGGGAAGGAAAAATAGATGCTTTCCCAGCTATGAAAAATAACTTAAAGCACCCCAGTCTGGTACAAAAAGACAGACAATTTCCCAGTCCTGTGGCTAAATTCTGTGAAACAAAGGGGCCTTGGGCTGCTAAAAAGAGCCATACAGCATATAGCAAAAAGAGCCATACAGCATGCGGTTTTTAAAAAACCAACCAAGAAAATCCACTTCTACAGCGGAAAGCAAAGTACTCCGCTTACCTCTGGTACGTACTTGTTTGATCCATTGCACAGCAGCATAGCAAACTCAAAAACAGTAAGAAACTGAAAAGAGACTGCACATACAGCCGAGCCCCCTCCCTCCCCGCCCCCGCCGCAGTCGTCACAGGAAAATGTATAACGCTTCGCAGCAAACAAAACACAATCCAGCCTTCTGTAGGGCTCTACACCGAAAGAGAAGAGCTTGTGGAGTCAGTGTGACACAGAACCAAGGCGGGGATGTTTTCTGGTCTACTGCCCCACATAAAGAGACTAAAGGGCTGTCTGAAGCTGTCAGGGAACCCACTGCCCTGGTGTACACTCCCCCCCCCCCGAGAATATTTTGTTAAGGACTTAATAAAGCCCCTTTATACACTGCCAACCCACAGATACTGAGCAAATATGTACTACATACTGAGTATGTTTACATATTGAAAAACAGAGTGACCAGAACAGTTCTCTCCTCCCAGCAGCATCCAGTGTCAGTATTAGCCTTTTATTAACTCTCCCTCCAAAAACCCTAAACCACTTAGCAGAAGTGACTGCACACCACTTATCTCCACCATCCCATGACCCTCTCTTTATCCTCCCCTTTTGCCTGACCGATTAAACAAGGAGGAAAGAAGCAGACAGGCAAACACGCAGTGTGTATGTACATGCAGACTGGGGCTTAAGTCCAAAGCTAGACTCAGTCCCACAAGTATCGTCAGTGCCAACACTTGCCCTGAAACAAAGCAGCAACAGTGCACGTACAGAGTGTTTCCCAAAATGTAGCTACAAACCAACCCCACCCTCCTACAAAGGACAGAGTAGGCCTTTCAAAATTAAACTGGCTAAACATGCCTTGTTCACTAACAACTATGAACAGCCACTGTTCAAGCAAGCAAAATCCTGCTCCTATTGCAAGTCCAGGTCTAAGAAGCTATTAATTTTTCCCCACAGACAGGAGGTTTTGTTTTGTTTTCTTTCATTGAAGTCAGTGTTTTAAAATGATGGGTTTCCCCCTTCTTCTGCCAGTTAAATTTAAAAAAAATCTTTAAGAGAGGGATGTGAGATTAGCAGTGCAATCCTAAAGAGTTATTCCAGTCTAAACCTGTTCATTTCAATTGGCTTAGATTGGAGTAACTCTCTTTAGGATTGCACTGTTAGTGATGCAGAACTCAGATTCCCCCCCTCCCCCAAACCATGAATAAAGCCAGTCATAAACCGAACAGTGAATGAGAAAGGCTTTAGCCTGGGGAACGTGCATGTGTTGGTTAACCTTTAAGGTGCCGCAAGACTTTTTGCTGTAACAAACAGGGTCAGCCATCTGCCAGAAACGCTACCCAAACTGCAGAAAACAATACATAAACGATACTAATGAGTGGGGGTGGGGGGGGAGAAAATGTTTTAGAGTCTCCACTCCATTTCCTCAAGGTACAGACATCCAGAGAGGGGGCAGTAAAAGACGGCAGAAACTGTTGAGATTGCTGCAAGCCACCCCAAGGATAAGAAACTATATCCTTAATTATTACTGGGAAGGAAGGCCAGACTCAACAATCCCAAGGCTTTAAAAACAGGACTATAAGTGAAGGAGACTTTTTTTTTTTTGCGTAGGGCAACTGGCACCCTCTTTTTCACCAGGAAGAGGACAAACTACAATTAAGAAAGTAACTAACTTAAGCAATACTAATGAGAAAATAGTAATAACACCGTAACGATAACCATCACAAAAAAAGTAATACAATACAGGAGATTATTGGGGGAGAGGCAAAATATGAAAAAGAACCAGTGAATATTATAAAAACAGTGGAGGGGGGGGTCAGTGTCTCCTCCCCCCCCACACACTCAAAAAAAGAGGATCAGATCTCCAG